TATCGATGATGACGTACTGTGCCGAGGGCTGTGCTGTGCTACGCCGTGCTGAACTGCGATGTGCCATGCCGCGATTGTGCTCTATATAGCGTTGTGGATCGAGTCCTCCCTGGCATCCGAGTCCTCACCGAACTGATCTGGAGCGTAAGCTCGAGCTGCCTGAGCAGATGGTAGCTGCCCCAGAACTAATCGACAGAGGGAACATGCCAGGAGGACGCGCCGCGGAACGTCCCAAGGGACGCGCCAGGCGACGTGCCAGGGGACGTGCCATGGGGCATGGGGGCGCACCGCGGGACGTGCCAAGGGGACGCGCTACGGAACGTGCCAATGGACGTGCCGAGGGACGTGCCAGGGGACGCGCCGCGCGACGTGCCAGGTGGACTCGCCACGGAACGCGCCAAGGAACGTGCCAAAGTGCATAGTTGAGTGTATCGATCTTGATGTACCGTGCCGACGGCTGTGCTGTGCTGGGCCGTGCTGAACTGCGATGTGCCATGCCGCGATTGTGCTCTCTATAGCGTTGTGGATGGAGTCCTCCCTGGCATCCGAGTCCTCACCGAACTGATCTGGATCGTAAGCTCGAGCTGCCTGAGCCGATGGTAGCTGCCCAAGAACTAATCGACAGAGGGAACATGCCAAGAGGACGCGCCGCGGAACGTCCCAAGGGACGCGCCAGGCGACGTGCCAGGGGACGTGCCATGGGCACGCACCGCGGGACGTGCCAAGGGGACGCGCTACGGAACGTGCCAATGGACGTGCACCGCGCGACGTGCCAGGGGGACTCGCCACGGGACGCTCCGCGGAACGTGCCAGGCAACATGCCAGGCTGCAATGCTAAGGGTATCGATATTGATGTACCGTGCCGAGGGCTGTGCCGTGCCTGGGCGACCTGAACACGTGAAAACACGCGTTTCGCTCAAGACGTTGTCAACACATCCTCATGCTAGACATCGTCCCTGGGCAACCTGGACACGTGCAAACAGGCGTCTCGCTCGAGACATCCTCAACAAATGCTCATGCTAGACATCCGCCTGGGCGTCCTGGGCACGTGAAAACAAGCCTCTGGTTCGAGACATCCTCAACAAATCCTCATGCTAGACATCTGTCTGGGCCACCTGGAGGCGTGAAACCAAGCGTCTCGCTCGAGACATCCTCAAGACCTGGGCACGTGAAAACAAGCAATCCACTTGAGAGATCCTCAGAATTGAGGTCCCCAGGAGAGGACAATCTATAACACAAAACAAGCGTTTCGCTCGAGACATCCTCAACAAATTCTGAAAAACAAGCGTTTCGCTAGGGACATCCTCAATTTTTAATTCGCCGGCCCTACGCGACCTCGTTATTTATCGCAAAAGAAATTCGCCGGCCCTACAGCCGTCAAAACCGGGGGGAAACCAACTAAAAGAGAACCCTGGGCTCAGGCCCTTTCCGGGAAAAAAATTGACTCCCTCTGCGTCCGCGCGCACGACGACGACGATGAGCGACGAGCGACGAGCGACAACCACGACGACGACGACGACGACGACGACGGCGACGACGACGGCGGCGGCGACGACGGCAGCGGCGACGACGACGACGACGACGACGACGACGACGACTGCGGACCAGACTCCTATGCGGATTCCTATGCGGACACCCATGCGGATCACGATGCGCACGGCGGCAAGGCCCGGAACGCACTGGGGAGGGAGCGTCACGTCATATGGGGGGGGCGGGGGCCATGACGCCCGTCAGGCCCAAGTAATCCGCCGACCCTGTCGGCGTGTGGAAGATGCTTTTCCGTTCGTCGTGAACGTCGTCGTCGTCGTCGTCGTCGTCGTCGTCGTCGTCGTCGTCGTCGTCGTCGTCGTCGTCGTCGTCGTCGTCGTCGTCGTCGTCGTCGTCGTCGTCGTCGTCGTCGATGCTCTTCCGTTCGTCGTCGTCGTCGTCGTCGTCGTCGTCGTCGCCCTCCCCTCAGGCGCGCCAGCCAAAGCGAAACCAAAGCGAAATCGAGCAACGTCGTAGCTGAGTCGAAGGCAAAGCGAAATTGAGCAACGTCGTAGCTGAGTCGAAGGGAAGCCCCTTCCCTTTGATCCCTTCCCCGCCGGGGGGGGGGGGGGGTCCCGGGGGGGGGGAGGGGGGGCAGATACGCATCCCCCCCGGGATGTCCCGGGACCTAGAAAAGCCCCCAGACTGGCCAAGAGTGCCCCAAGAGGCTTCCAAGACGGCTCCAGAGGGCCCCGAATCGCCGAACCATCGGTCGAAGACGCCAAAGTAGCCTCCAGACGGCCCAAGAGATTGCCAAGACGCTCCAAGAAGTCTCCAAGAGCACTCCCAAGAGGGCACGAAGAGGGAACATGATCGACCCACGAACCCGGAAAGGAATATAGAAATGTAACGCATGGCAACGTTTTCAAAGACACCTGATTGGGTGACGGGCAAGTGCAATGCTGATTGTATCGATCTTGATGTACCGTGCCGAGGGCTGTGCTGTGCTGCACCGTGCTGAATTGCGATGTGCCATGCCGCGGTTGTGCTCTATAGCGTCGTGGATCGAGTCTTCCTTTGCATCCGAGTCCTGACCGAACTGATCTGGATCTTAAGCTCGAGCTGCCTGAACAAATATTAGCTGCCCCAGAGCTAATTGACAAGGGGGCATGCCAGGAGGACGCGCCGCGAAACGTCCCAAGGGACGCGCCAGGCGACGTGCCAGGGGACGTGCCATGGGGTCGCACCGCCGGACGTGCCAAGGGGACGCGCTACGGAACGTGCCAATGGATGTGCCACGGAATGTGCCAGGGGACGCGCCACGCGACGTGCCAGGGGGACTCGCCAAGGGACGCCCCACGGAACAAGGAACGTGCCAAGTTGCAATGCTGAGTGTATCGATCTTGATGTACCGTGCCGAAATCAGTGCTGTGCTGCGCCGTGCCGAATTGCGATGTGCCATGCCGCGATTGTGCTCTATAGCCTCGTGGATCGAGTCCTCCTTTGCATCCGAGTCCTGACCGAACTGATCTGGATCTTAAGCTCGAGCTGCCTGAACACATAGTAGCTGCCCCAGAGCTAATTGACAAGGGGACATGCCAGGAGGACGCGACGCGGAACGTCTCAAGGGACCCGCCAAGCGACGTGCCAAGGGACGTGCCATGGGGACGCACCGCGGGACGTGCCAAGGGGACGCGCTACGGAACGTGCTGGGGACAAGCGTTTCGCTCGAGACATCCTGCCAACATCCTCAGAATTCCTGCGCGCGGGACGCGGCACGCGCGAGACATCCTCAAAATTATTGCGAGCGGGACGTGAAAACAAGCATTTCGCCTGAGACATCCTCTGAATTCTGGACCCCACGAGGACCCCCACGAGGCCCCCGCTCGAGACATCCCCCAATTTTGCAAAACCAGCGTTTCGCTCGAAACGTCTTCAACAAATAATGAAAGACAAGCATTTCGCTCGAGACATCCTGCCAAAATTCAAGGACATCCTGGCAAAACGAACGAATTAGTCGAGACATCCTCGACATTCCTGCGCGCGGGACGCGGCACGCGCGAAACATCATCGGAATTCCTGCGCGCGGGGCGCTTTTCCGCGTCGCGGTCGGCTCTGCAAAACCAGCGTTTCGCTCGAGACATCCTCAACAAATTCTGAAAACAAGCGTTTCGCTCGAGACATCCCCAACTCTGCAAAACCAGCGTTTCGCTCGAGACATCCTTAACAAATTCTGAATACACTACACCCGCGCTCCCAGGGCCACGATCCCTCGTAAATTACGCTACGTCAGCGCTCCCAGGGCCACGATCCCTCGTAAGGGCTCCTGGGCCCTCCTGGGTCTTCCTTGGACCTCTTGGGCCCTCCTGGGCTCTCCTGGAGCCTCCTGGAGCTTCTCCTGGGCCCTCCTTGGGCCCCCTGGTGCCTCTTGGAGCCTCCTGGGTCCTCCTGGGCCCTCCTGGGCTCTCCTGGGCCCTCCTGGGCTCTCCTGGGCTCTCCTGGAGCCTCCTGGGCCCTCCTGGGCGAAGTCAAGGTCCGAAAACCCATGGGATTTGCCACATTTCTGGAATTCCGTGCCACCCCTCACGCAGATCGGCGGGGTCAGGGTCCAAAAACACAGGGGATTTGCCATATTTCTGGAATTCCGCGCCACCCCTCACGCAGATCGGCGGGGTCAGGGTCCAAAAACACATGGGATTTGACACATTTCTGGTATTCCGTGCCACACCTCACGCAGATCGGCGGGGTCAGGGTCAAAAAACACATGGGATTTCTGCTATTTCCGAACTTATGCAACTTCAAGAATCCAAAACTCCGTTCCCAGCGCCGTTCCGGAGGCCGCGGTACCTCGTTATTTATCGAGCGAACGCGTTTACCTAGTTTTTTTATCGTTTAAAGTCGATGTCGGAAAAAGTTGACTTCACCTGTGAAATATCGAGATTTCCTTAAAGGCAGTAAAATTCCAAGAGCACGATCTGCGTGAGGGGTGGCGAAGAATGGCCTTCGTCCTCACAATTGACATCCGCCGGCCCCCTTCGACCTCGTAATTTATCGCACAAGAATTCCGCCGGCCCCCTTCAAGTAAAAACCGGTGGTAAACCTACTAAAAGAGAACCCTGGGCCCAGGCCCTTTCCGGGAAAAACCAATGATTTCCTTAAAGTTTTTGACAGATTTTGGCGTTCTCGCCGTTTCAACTTGCCGACGCTCCAAGACGGCCCCAGATGCCCCCAAGATTGCCCCAAGATAGCCCAAGAGGCCTCAAGAGAGCCCCAAAATGACCCAAGAGAGCCTCAAGACCGCCCAAGATGCTTCCAAGATGGCCCCAGAGGCTCCCCAAACGGCTCCAACAGGGTGCCCAGACGGGGGGCCCGACGAGCCCTCGGCGACAGAGGCTCCCAGGAAGCCCCAAGATGCCCCCAAGAGGCCACCACGAGACCCCCAAGAGGCCCCCAGGAAGCCCCAAGAGGCCCCCCCCGCCACATTAGAGAACGCATGGGTCGCTCTCCAGGGTCGGCGGCACCGGCCGCAAGGCCTTCGCAATAAAGAAACGGGCTCGAGGATGTGTCAGGCGGCGCCCAGGATCCTCAAGGAGCACAATTCAACAACAAAGTATAATCAAATGCTTCGCCTGGGTACGACCCCTCCTCTCATGCGAAACACGCCAGATCACCTCTCGCGCGGCACCGCGGAGCCCAGAGTTGCAATGATGTCTCAGGCGAAACGCGGCAGACCACCTCTCGCGCAGCAGCTCAGAGCCCAAAGTTGACAGGATGGCTCAGGCGGAACGCGCCGACCCACCTCTCGCGCGGCATCTCGGAGCTCAGAGATGCGAGGATGTCTCGAGCGAAATGGACCAGACCACCTGTCGCGCAGCAGCTCGGAGCTCAGGAGTGCGAGGATGTGCCATGCGAAACGAGCCGGACCACCTCTCACACAGCAGCTCGGAGCCCAGAGCTGCTTGTCTCGAGCGGCACGGACGGGGGCACCTCGCGCGCGGCATCTCGAAGCTTAGACTCGCGAGGACGCCTCAGGCGAAACGCGCCAGACCACCTCGCGCATGGCATCTCGGAGCCAACAGCTGTGAGGATGGCTCAGGCGCGCAGGACCACCTCGTGCGCGTCAGCTCGGAGCTCATGGATGCAAGGATGTCTCAAACGAAACGGGTTGGGGCACCTCGCGCGCGGCAACTCGAAACTTCGACTCGAGAGGATGTTTCTGGCGAAACGCGCCGGAACACTTCGCGCGCGGCAGCTCGGAGCCCAGAGTTGCGAGGATATGTCAGGCAAAACGCGCCGACCCACCTCTCGCGCGGCATCTCGGAGATCAGGGGCGCGAGGAAGTAGTCTCAAGCGAAACGCGCCAGACCATCTCTGGCGCGGGAGCTCGGAGCGCAGAAATGCGAGGATGTCTCAGCGGGAACGCGCCAGACCACCTCTCGCGCGGCAGCTCGGAGCTCAGAGATGCAAGAGTGTCTCAAGCGACACGGACAGGACCATCTCTCGCGCAGCATCCCGAAGCTCAGAATTGCCAGGATGTCAAATGTCTCTGGCGAAACGCGCTGGACCACATCGCGCGCGGCATGTCTCGGGCAAAACGCCCCGGACCACCTTGCGCGTGGCGCCTCGGAGCTCCGAACTGCGAGGACGTCGCAGGCGAAACGCCCGATCCTGGCCAACTCAGAAGCGGGAGATGTGAGGATGCCTCAGGCGAAATGGCCCGGACCACCAAATTCTCTTGAGGCTCTCTGCTCGCCCGTCCGTCGACCAGAACAAGGTTCTACCAAGACAGCACGCCGTTCAGCAAGCTGTCTGCGGAACAAAACCGAACGGGCCCATTGCAAATACAACGAAACACAACAACAAAAAAACAAAAAAAAAAACAAAAAAAAATGATCGACCCACGAACCCGGAAAGGAATATAGAACTGTAACGCATGGCAACGTTTTCAAAGACACCTGATTGGGTGACGGGCAAGTGCAATGCTGATTGTATCGATCTTGATGTACCGTGCCGAGGGCTGTGCTGTGCTGCACCGTGCTGAATTGCGATGTGCCATGCCGCGGTTGTGCTCTATAGCGTCGTGGATCGAGTCTTCCTTTGCATCCGAGTCCTGACCGAACTGATCTGGATCTGAAGCTCGAGCTGCCTGAACACATAGTAGCTGCCCCAGAGCTAATTGACAGGGGGACATGCCAGGAGGACGCGACGCGAAACGTCCCAAGGGACGCGCCAGGCGACGTGCCAAGGGACGTGCCATGGGGTCGCACCGTAAGACGTGCCAAGGGGACGCGCTACGGGACATCCTCAAAATTCCTGCGCGCGGGACGTGGCACGCGCGAGACATCCCCGGAATTCCTGCGAGCGGGACGTGAAAACAAGCATTTCGCCTGAGACATCCTCTGAATTCTGGCCCCCAACGAGGCCCCCGCTCGAGACATCCCCCAATTTTGCAAAACCAGCGTTTCGCTCGAGACATCCTCAACAAATTATTTAAAACAAGCATTTCGCTCAAGACATCCTGCCAAAATCAAGGACATCCTGGCAAAACGAACGAATTAGTCAGGACATCCTCGAAATTCCTGCGCGCGGGACGCGGCACGCGCGAGACATCCTCGGAATTCCTGCGAGCGGGACGTGAACACAAGCATTTCGCCTGAGACATCCTCTGAATTCTGGCCCCCAACGAGGCCCCCGCTCGAGACACCCCCCAAGTTTGCAAAACCAGCGTTTCGCTCGAGACATCCTCAACAAATTATTAAAAAATTACACTACACCCGCGCTCCCAGGGCCACGATCCCTCGTAAATTACGCTACGTCAGCGCTCCCAGGGCCACGATCCCTCGTAAGGGCTCCTGGGCCCTCCTGGGTCTTCCTTGGACCTCTTGGGCCCTCCTGGGCTCTCCTGGAGCCTCCTGGAGCTTCTCCTGGGCCCTCCTTGGGCCCCCTGGTGCCTCTTGGAGCCTCCTGGGTCCTCCTGGGCCCTCCTGGGCTCTCCTGGGCCCTCCTGGGCTCTCCTGGGCTCTCCTGGAGCCTCCTGGGCCCTCCTGGGCGAAGTCAAGGTCCGAAAACACATGGGACTTGCCACATTTCTGAAATTCGGTGCCACCCCTCACGCAGGTCGGCGGGGTCAGGATCCGAAAACACGGGGATTTGCCACATTTCTGGAATTCCGTCCGTGCCACCCCTCACGCAGATCGGCGGGGTCAGGGTCCAAAAACACAGGGGATTTGCCACATTTCTGGAATTCCGCGCCACCCCTCACGCAGATCGGCGGGGTCAGGGTCCAAAAACACTGGGGATTTGACACATTTCTGGTATTCCGTGCCACACCTCACGCAGATCGGCGGGGTCAGGGTCAAAAAACACATGGGATTTTCTGTTATTTCCGTTCCCAGCGCCGTTCCGGAGGCCGCGGTACCTCGTTATTTATCGAGCGAACGCGTTTACCTAGTTTTTTTTATCGTTTAAAGTCGATGTCGGAAAAAAGTGGACTTCACCTGTGAAATATCGAGGTGTCCTTAAAGGCAGTAAAATTCCAAGAGCACGATCTGCGTGAGGGGTGGCGAAAAATGGCCTTCGTCCTCACAATTGAAATCCGCCGGCCCCCTTCGACCTCGTAATTTATCGCACAAGAATTCTGCCGGCCCCTTTCAAGTAAAAACCGGGGGGAAGACCATCTAAAAGAGAACCCTGGGCTCGAGCCCTTTCCGGGGGAAAAAAAAAAAAAAAAAACGAATGAGTCGAGAGCTCCGGTGCCTCCTCCTCCCTCCCCTCCCCTCCCCCTCCCCCTCCCCCTCCCCTCCCCCTCCCCCTCCTCCTCCTCTCCTCCTCCTCCTCCTCTCCTCCCCCTCCCCCTGCTCCTCCTCTCCTCCTCCTCCTCCTCCTCCTCCTCCTCCTCCTCCTCCTCCTCCTCCTCCTCCTCCTCCTCCTCCTCCTCCTATCTTTCGGCGCAACTGAAGGCTGTGCACGGCCAGCTGGATTGAGTTCCGTTGCCTCCCCCTCCTGCTTGATTGTTCCTAGAGCCCGCAGTGACTCCTGCTCTGCGGGCTTTGTAATTATTAAAATTACGTTGAATTTTCCAGTCCGTAGATTTGCCGCCTCTGAACCGCCCGACCCATGCACTGACATCTGCATGAACCGCAGGTCCGCGCCCATCGTGTAAGCAAGCGCCGATGTCGCCGAACAAAGCAGCACACGCACCATTGCTGAGCCGACGATGGCCAAGAAGTGTGGCAATAAACTTCCAGGTGCGATGTGAGAAGACGAAAAACGCACCTCGACAAGATTGAACACAAACGGCCATGGAAGGGAGAATAAGAGCTCAAGGTCATGTATAGCGGTCGTGACCGGCCCCGCGTTCCCCCCCCCCCAGGTAGCGTCACGTTTCGGGCTAGCGATTTCTAGGAATGCTTAGGAATAGCCCGAGACAGCTCGGATAGCAGATCCCTATGAGGGTCTGTTACGGTTGATCGCGCAAACAAATATAGGGATCTGCTGCGGCACAGCGTTTTCCTTCCCCACGTCCTGTTCCTCGTCCTCCTCCTCATACTGTTCGTCCTCCTCCTCCTCCTCCTCGTCCTCGTCGTCGCGTCGTCGGCGCAATCGTCGTAGCATTCCCCCTCCAATACGCCTTATCTCTTCTCACTATCTTGCAAAATGCTTCCTGCGGGCCGGGCCAGGCTATAACGACCTGGCTGACTACACTTTAATTTTCGGGTCGTGCTCTCGGGTGCGCATGTGATGCGGTGCATCTTCGGGGGGCCTGGACTGCCCCGTCGCGCCCCTGCTTAGGCGCGACGAAAGATCCCTTGGAAACGCGGATCGCCTCCACGCGACCCAGACAGGATGCATGGGCGGCCCCGCGGCCCCAATATGGTTCCACGACGGCCTCCGACGGGCACGAAGATGATATCGGGGCGACCCCAAGCAGACACCGTGGCCCCTGCATGATCCAGACGCAGAGTCGAAATTGCACGAAGGCGAATCCAAGATGACCCAAGATGTGAGCGATGCCCTAGAGACCAGGCGCGGTGGCCCCAGAGCGACCCCGAGGTGGCCGGAACATCCCCAGAGCACATCGCCACGATCTGAAGGTTGGCCTGGAAATGGTTGCAAAATGACCTCAAGACGACCCGAACACGTCATACCTTGGCGGGTGGGTGGGATTTATGGTTGGCTGGACTAAACCTATGTAATCAAAAAGGGGGAACTAGTCGTCAAGGACCCCGCCGACACAGCGCAAAGAGCCGGCTAACTATCCTGCTTGGCTTCTAGGGGGGGAGGGTCAACGTATCCTGCCCCTCGGCCCCGTCGGGGCCGTTGCCATGGGGGGTGCGACGTAGGCGAGCGCGCAATGCCGTCGATGCGTAGTTTTTACTCGCAAGGCGACAGCAAGGCGACAGCTGGGACAATTCAGTTGCACCTCAGAAGCCCGAATGCGCCCCAGTCTTCTTGCACGCGACCTTGCACGCCTTCTTGAAGATCTGGAACTTATTTCCGGCTACAGCCTGCGCCTTCTGCGTTTTCAACAGCCGCTTCAGCCTGCGCATCCACGCGGTTTTCCGCAACGCGGGCCGCTCGTTCCTCAGGCGCTCGAGATCCAACCGGCGCATCGCCTGGCGCAGCCAGCCCCAAAAGGCTTCAATCGGCTTCAAATCGGGTGGTCTCGGTGGGATGTCCAGCAGCTGGACATTCCTCTTCCCGCGCTCCTTCGCGCGCTCCTTGCCGGCCATGGAGCTCTCGTCCTCGCAGAGCAGCCGCCGCCGTGGAGGCGGCGCGATCCGCCTCGGTCGGCCCCGAGGGTAGCGCCCCAAAGGCGAGCCTGCCAATCGGCCAGCTGGGCCCGGGGAAGTTCACGAACATCTTCCAACAGGTGCACTCTGGACCTTCTGACACGTCAACGGCACGCCCACTGATTGGAACCTAGGGCTAGCGACCGTCTGCTTCCCCAAGAGGCGCCGTCTCACCAGAGGCTCAGGAGCTCCATTAAGTTTCTGCAGATTCCTCTCGCGCGTAGCACCCGGCTTCCTCGCCCATTTCGCCGCCTCCCTGGCGTCGTGGGCGTCGTTCAGGGCGGCCTGGCCCTCCGTCTTGCCATCGCGGCCAGGGTGGGCTCTCCTGGACGCCTTCCGGCATGCGCCGCTGACGCCGCGCCCCCGCCGCATCCCTCTCCAAGCTCAGCGGGGCGCCGCACGAGGCGGCCAGAACCCGAAGGAGACCCGTCGCGGCGCGCATCGCCACGTCGATTGAAGAAGGCATCGCGAGGTAATTTCCCAGATACGTTGCCCCCACAATCTCTGCGAATCAATCAACCGTGAGCCGACGCGATGCGGAGTGCGGCAGGCGCGATCAGGCGCGTAGTTTTTCTTACTCGCAAGGCGACAGCAAGGCGACAGCAAATCGACAGCAGGGACAATTCAGTTGCACCTCAGAAGCCTGGGTGCGCCCCATTCGTCTTGCACGCGCACGCGACCTTGCGCGCCTTCTTGCGGTCTTTAAGTTTGGCTACGGTCTGCGCCTTCCGCGTTTTCAACAGCCGCTTCAGCCTGCACATCCACGCGCCCCCCCCCAGGGCGGGCCGCTTGTTCCGCGGGCCCTCGAGATCCCGCCGGCGCATCGGGTTCAAGTCGGGCGACCTCGGTGCGACGTTCAGCAGCTGGACATTACTATTCCTGCGCACCCTCTCGCACTCCTTGCCAACCATGAAGCTCGTCGTCGCAGAGCAGCCGCCGCCGTGGAGGTGGTGCGTTCCGTCTTGGTTGGTCTCGAGCGTAGCGCACCAAAAGCGAGCCTGCCAATCGGCCAGCTGGGTCCTGGCGAAGATCACGAACCGCTTCCAGCAGGTGCGGTCCGGGAACTTTTGGCACGTCAACAGCACGCCCACTGATTGGAACCGAAAGCTAGCAACCGTCTGCTTCCCCAAGAGGCACCGTCTCACAAGAGGCTCAGGAATTTCACCAAGTGTCTGCATCTTCCTCTCGTGCGTGCCTCGCGGCTTCCTAACCCGTTTCGCCGCCTCCCTGGCGTCGTGGGCGTTTCCTCCGTCTTGCCAACGCGGTCAGGGTGGACTCTCCTGGAAGCCTTCCCGTATGCGCTGCTGACCTCCACGTCCGTCGCATCCCTCTTCAAGCTCAGCGAGACGTCGCACGAGGCGGCCAGAACCGGAAGAAAACCCACCAAGGCACGCTTCGCCAAGTCGATCGCAAAAGGCATCGAAAGGTAACTTCCCATATGCATTGCCTCCGAATCATCTGCAACCCAACCTTGAGCCGAAACGATACGGACTGCGGCAGGAGCGATCAGGCTTAAATCCTTGGAAACGCGAAAGACCTCCACGCGACCCAGACAGGATGCCTGGGCGGCCCCATGGCCCCCAGATGTTTTCCACGACGTCCTCAGACGGGCACGAGGATGACCTCGGGGCGACCCCAAGAAGACCCCGTGGTCCATGCAGGATCCAGACGCAGCGTCAAAAATCGCCCAGGGGCGAATCCAAGATGGCCCAATATGGCCTGGTGACCCTGCGCGGAAGCCCCAGAGCGAACCCCGAGGTGGCCGGAGCATTTCCAGAGCACAACACCATGATCTGAAGATGACCTGCATATGATTTCAAGATGACCTCAAGACGACCCGAACACGTCATACATTGGCGGAATTGTGTCCCACAGCGGGATTCATCCCGACACTATTTTTTTATGGGTGGGATATATGGTTGGCTGGACTAATTAGGATCCCGCCCAAACGACGCAACAGGGCTATCTTGCTAGGCTTGTAGGGGGGAGGGGGATTCAACGCATCCTGCCCCTCAACCCCGTCGGGGCCGTTGCCACTGCCATCGGGCCCAACTCAGAAAATTCAAAGAACTTTCGGAGCGGCGATGTATCCGCGTCGGGTCCACGCCGAATCCACGCCAAATTCGCGGTGAGTCCGCATCGAACCCGCACCAGGCACAAGAGAACACACCGATTTGTGGGACAGACGAGGTTCCCAGAAAATGCGACGTAACGTGTGTGCGTGTGCGTGAGTGCGTGAGTGCGTGAGTGAGTGCGTGAGTGCGTCAGTGCGTGAGTGCGTGAGTGCTTGTGCGTGTGCGTGTGTGTGCGTGTGCGTGGGCGTGCGCGTGTGCGTGTATGCTTGTTTGTGTGTGTGGTTTGGGGGCGGTAGCGGCTCTTGGACCCAGGAGAGGGAAATGGGCCTCGCATGTTCCTCCGCTTCACCTCTCCTCTCTCCCTCCCTCTCCCACCTCTCTCTCCCTCCTCCTTCCCTGCCCGTTCCTTCTCGTCGGCTCGCGGTGGCCGGCTCACGTCTGACAGCGTTTCTTTATGTTCGGCGATGACGGGCGTCATGGGGGGGGATGGGGGCGACGGGGGGTATGACGTAAAGCCCCCCCGATGTGTGGCTCCAGCACCGCAGCCGCGCCCGCGCGCGCGAAGCGACGAGCGACGAGCGACGAGAAACGACGACGACGACGACGACGCGAGCAGCATGTAGGTTCTGATATGCCCCACTACGCCTGTTTACGCCACAACGCTCGCGTCCAACACAACGCGCCTGCGGGTATACCACAGCGCTTGCGTACACCGCAACAACCGTGTGCAACGCAGCGCCTGTCCACCACAACGATTGCGTACACTGCAGCGCCGGTGTACACGTGTACACCGCAGCTACCATGTGCAACACACCGCCTGTGTACACCACAGTGCTTGCGTGCACCGCAGCGCCTGTGCACGCCACAGCGCGTGTCTACACCACAACATCCGCGTGCAACGCAGCGCTGGTGTACACCGCAACAGCTGCGTGCAGTGGGCACGTAAAACGAGCATGTACATGAGGATCTGCTGCGGACGACTAGGCGCCACGCCAGTAAAGTGCTGATAATCAAATGCGACGTTTTTCCCTCCTTCCTCCTCTTCCACCTCCACCACCTTCTCCTCCTCCTCCTCCTCCTCCTCCTTACCCCCTGTCGTGCGGGTTGGCGCTACAGCGCACGTGCGCATCTCAGCGCGCACCGCAGAATGGTCTATTGAATCGGTCCACTTAATTCTCGGACGGCCAATTTACCTGCAGCCTCCTGGACGCAGATGGTGGGAGTTAGGGTGATGCGGGCGGACTCGGGAGGACTCGTAGATTCCAGCGGCGCTCCGTTGTCCATAAGGATTAATGTATATTGTTTTCTGTGGAATCCACAACCGCTCCAGTTTGTCATACGGATTTGCTCTAACATGCTATACACAGCAGTGGTGTTGTGTTGCACACGGTTGCTGTGGTGCACACAAGCGCCGTGGTGCACACAGGCACTGCGATGCACGCAGGCATTGTGGTGTACACTGGTGCTGTGTTGCACACGGCTGATGTGGTGT